GCCAGCCGCAGAGGCAGGGCTCGGGCAGCAGTCACCAATGGCTGCACTGGTGACCACTGTACCTTTCTCTAGCGACTGAAACATTTTCATATGAAAAATGCACTAATTTGTTTTGTTTCCTTTGGAGCAAATGACATCGTTTCCATGAGCATGTTGTTTAACTGAATACTAACGAATCGTTTGAATGATGTGCACTCCTGTGTGTATGTGTGTGTGTATATATATATAAAAAAATCTTCAATCATAATACACATTGTTTGTATTCTTTTTCAAAACATGCATCTTAATTTTTAAGAAATCCTTTTAATTTCTTTCACACTTCAATTAAAAGGCACAGAAAATGAGAAAAGAATACAGCTGTCCAAGCAAAAAGTCATTAAACCTTTTTTTTTTAAAAAAAAAAAAAGATACTTAGCATCTAGTTCTATATATTTCATTCAACTCTAATTAATGGTGTTTCCAAGGCAATAGGTGTGTTCTGTTAACAATGAACATTAAGGAATGAACTGTATTGCTAATTACTAATGACCAATGTTTTTCAAATAGTTTCATGAATATAGTTCACTCAAGGCCAAGAGATGTAAAATAAAAAAAACAGGGGGATGGGATGGAGGGAAGCATGAAAAACAGGATTTCAGAAGAAGTCTTATTAAAACTTGATAACAAGACAACAGGTTCTTTGCCACTTGACTGCCATCACCATGGTGCCCAGGGCCATTGCTCTGGGGAGAAAGAACCCACTAAAAGACTTGTAGAAAAGCCAAATCCTAGCCAGTTACTCTCAAAAGGCAAAATGCTTAACCACACACGTGTTTAGACTGCATTCACACTACAACCAGAGGTGGTGTTAAGGAAAAAAGTTTCCGAAACCATATTGAGTGATTTAGCCTATGTAAATAGAGCCAAACACTAGCATACTACCCAATGACCAAGCAGGCAAAAACAGACATACCAATACTGAGACTGGACAAAAAGAAGTCATCTTTTGCAGCAAAATGAGTAACTACAACTTCTTGCCCAGAGTATATCACAAACTTGGATTAATCACAAAAAAAGAAAAGACCCTGTTGCATCACTTTTATTCAGCAACACCCAGAATAAACTCACATACATATTAAAAACTGAAATAAAATTGAAGACATCTTTCAACATATCCTTCCTGTGTATAGTTAATGGCACACCTAATGTCTCACCTGTACTGGTTATTACTGAGCTTTTCTTCATAATAAAAGGCCTCCCATTTTTCACCTGAAAAAACTCTTCTGGTACTCATACCATCTGCATGTACATCATAATGCTTTTGGAAAGGTGTGTGAATCTTAGAAATCACTGACACTTGAAGTAAAGGAGATGCCAAGAAGAAATTGAAACACTCAAGTCATACAGGTGATGGCAGAATTACTTCACTTGAGTGTAGGCTATTTTTTTCTGAAGAGGAAACTATCAGAAGGTGTGCATGGGGGCAAGTGTTTTAATCTGAATTCATCTTTCAGTAACAAAGACAACTTGCTATAGACAGTGGGAAGGTTACAACTGTGATGCACCAGAGAGGCAGAAAACTCACTGAACAGCCTGACAAATTCCTTTACCATGAGGGTGGGGGCGCAGAAACGCACTGCCTGATGTGATCCACCAAATGCAAGAGACAACAGGCTTGCTGTCCCAGTTCCCTCTAAAAGTGTATTTTCAGAATAAAACAATGAAAAAGTTCTTTAATATACTTGCAGAAATATTATTTTGAGGGTAATTTTTATGATAGTAGGTATTTTGAGAGGCACCTCTACTTTTCCAGTTAGCAGAACCAAATCCATTTTCTAAAAGTAACTATTAATTGCTAAGCAGTAATACATTCGCAATTATGAGAGACAAGTAATCCTATCTTGGACTACTTAATATTGAAATCCAAGAAAAATGACTTCACAGCTTGCTTTCTGTAATTTATTCTTCTGACTATGTCAGAAGAAACCAATACCAGGGACAATCTCTATTCTACAGAACTATATACTGTGTGGCTGTGCTTCAGTTATCTAATGCTCAAAAGATGAAAAAGATGTCAAACGTCAGCTTGGAACTATCTCTGAATATTATTTAAGAGTTTTACAGGACACCAAATTGAAGAGATATGTCTCTTGAATGGTTTAATCCATTTTAATAAAAAAGAGATTGCTACCTTATCGATTTGTTTATCCCTCCACTGATCTTTGCAGATACCCATTACAAGTGATTATGAATGACTCCTGGGTCATATCATTTTCTTCTCAAAACTCTATTAGGTAAAGAAACCCCCAAACAGCACTTTATTGGTTTACCAAGAATCTGTGATACACTGCATAAATGCTACTCCAAGATGAGTAATTCCAGTCTGAACTAGTTTTCAATTTGCATCCCATGTCCCATTGCCACTACTACCCCCCTTTTTAAAAAAAAGTACCACAGAGCAACTTGTGCTCCTTCAGTACAAGTTAAATAATTTTTAAATTGCAAATTACTTGCAACACACAAAATTAGGCATTTGAGAATCATGCAATTATGCATTAGTTGAATTTTTACATGTGACAAACTTAATGACCTGCCAATCTTCATCATACAATCGAAAACAGAAATACACACACACACACATATATCTTAGTTCAGGAATTGTATTTCAGCTCCAAAACCACTACAAACACTTAAACAGCTTTTTGCCTTTTTTCTTTTTTTTTTTTTTTTTTTAAACATTACTGGCATTACCTCTTTCCATTAACATACAAGACAAATCTTTTGTTTAAGAAACTTTAATAGACTCAGCTGAAAGTCACCACTTTCTGTGACCTACCCCTTTCTCTGAATTTTTCCCAGTAACCTTCTGAAAACATAGAAGACGGACTTGAGAGAAAAAGATTCTGTCTCATGGATGGCACCACACACGAGTAAAATAATCAATTTAACACACTCCTGTTTACATATTTAAGGAACACGTGAGCACTGTGTACCACAGTATCACTTTTGATTTTTTTTTGATCACTGTTTCTTGCAGATTTGCCATTCTGACACCACAGGAGAGGTGTAACCCTGAAATGGCAACACACCACAAAAACCAAACAGCACTCCTAGAAGCACCACCAAGCCAAATGGGGACTGAATCTGGGCTGCTGCCATAAAACCATGGAGCTCTTATCATTAGTTTATCGAGAAAAAGCCTCATTTCTTCAGAAGCCTTCACTGTGTTCCCAAGTATTAGAAAGGAGAAGGAACAATTTGTCAGTCAGGTTAGTATGTATAAGAAACAACCCCAGCAGTGTGTGTTGGAAACTGCACTGAGAACCTACAGGAATGTCTACCAAACACTATTTAGTCAGATCTTGGTGAGCTCCAGAGCCATCTGCATGCCAATTAATGTGAAAAGCATTTGGTCAGATAAAGAAATTTGCCCAATGAATATGTAAGAACAAACACTGGACATGTGATAGACAAAAAAACTTGGATAATAGGATTCCTTCCAGAACATTAATCCGAACAGCTACAGCCTTCCAAAATCTACTCTGTTTCAAGCCACTGGGAACAAGGTTGTGTTCAGATTCAGCAACAGAAACTTATCTAGGTAAGTACCAGGCAAGACCTTGTGCACACGCACAGCCACCTTTCACTTGCAAGCAAAAAAGACAACATTTCTATCTTCCACAAATCTGGGTATTTCTGACAGCTCTATGCTCTCCTTCCCATAGATAGGAATTTTCAAGCATCGCTGAACTGGTCTCCTACTGACAAAGCCACAGGATTTTGTTACAAAAAAAATATGAAAGCAAACATTTCATTAGGCTACTAGGCTTGCACTAAAGCTCTTTTGTTCTCTCAGGCTAGTTAAAACTGTCCACAGTGCTTTGTGTCAATACACAACGTTTTCTTAAGAATTGGCCTGGACTCAACAGTTGCAGAATAGACATTACGGTACTACAGAGCCTGCAGAGACCCAGTGTTAAAGAAAACGAACTGAAACATGATATCATGGGCTACACTAACAAGTCATATTACAAAAGTCAGAGAAGCCTCCTTCTTTTGCAGTTTGCTGAAGATAAGAAGCTACAAAAGCAAGTCTCTTCACAAGGAAAACTAATCTGGGAACACGCATCACACAGAACAACCCTTTACTGAGGCAAAGCAGAAAGTTCAGGGCAGTTGAGGCAAATCAGCTGATGGGGTGAGAAAACAATTCCTTGTGCCTCCAAAGCAGCAAGGACTTCCCTCATTTCCCATATCCAGCCTTGTCATAAACAAGTAGCTAGCGATAGGATGAGAGGAAACGGGCTCAAGCTGCACCAGGGGAGGTTTAGACTGGAAATTAGGAAAAATTTCTTTACGGAAAGGGTGGTCAAGCATTGGAACAGGCTGCCCAGAGAGGTGGTGGAGTCACCATCCCTGGAAGTGTTCAAAAAACGGGTAGATGTGGCACT